GGTATTACGGTATGGCATGGAAGCGACATCGAAAGTTTAAAATAAAAGTTGGCAACAATTAAAAAGCGTTGGCAACACTTCCTTGTTATTTACAAAATAAGATAAAAATTTGTTTTTTTGAATTCTAATTTCGTCTCTTTCGGAAAAATAAAAAATATAGTGAAAAAATGGATATTATAAATGCGTTACATATCTTAAGTTCAAGTGAGGATGAAGTGGAGAATGTATTAGAAGTGCAGCGACGAGTGCCAAGATTGCAAACAAACATATTTGCATTGCCTGACTCTTGATTGTGTTGTTCCAAAAGTTTATACTGCTCTTTCAAGAGTTCAATAGTTTCTTCTTTCCTTGATGACTTTTTTTATCATTGTTTTTTCTGGGCGATCGAGAAGCTTGGATAGTAGTTACATCAGTCTCGTCATCAGCATTGCCCACTGGCTCATTTTCATGATCTATAACGTCTGTTACAATTATGTTTTCCGTATTTTTTACTTCAAGTGCACGACCTGGTGGATTCAGTAACTTTTGAAACTGCATTACATTCGCGAAGGACTTCTCCCAAAGCGACAAAGTCACCTCCAGTGCTGCTAGTTTTACGCTTATTGTGCACAATTGTTTTTTTAGTTTTAAATTTTAAATCTCTTCAAACCTACACGCAAAAAAATATAAGCCTCTCTAACATATTTCCCAAACATATTTTGCAGCAAACAAATATATGTTTGCAAACATTCCCAAACATAACATATGTTTGGGTGCTGCAAACAAATTATGTTTGGGTCCAAACATAATTAATGTTTGGGTCCAAACATAATTAATGTTTGGGTCCAAACATAATTAATGTTTGGGTCCAAACATATTTAATGTTTGGGTCCAAACATAATTAATGTTTGGGTCCAAACATAATTAATGTTTGGGTCCAAACATATTTTTTGTTCGGGTGCAAACATAATTTATGTTTGGACCCAAACATAATATATATTGGGGTGCAAACATAAATTTATGATTGGGTCCATTTGTATACTTACTGCAGATATAATTCAACCATAATGCAAACTAGTTTTAAAATCAATTTTTGATATTCACATTTTATTTAACATAAAATAAATTCATACATATTATAATATATAATATAAAATTAATTGTAATAATTAATATAATATTAATATCAGTAATAAAAAATTGTTAAAAATAATAATATTAAAATAAAAATTCTAATTATAAAAATATTAAAGAAAATAAATAATTTATAATGAAACATAGTTTTTTATTTTCTTTAATATTTTTATAATTAGAATTTTTATTTTAATATTATTATTTTTAACAATTTTTTATTACTGATATTAATATTATATTAATTATTACAATTTTTATTATGCTTAAAATTATTCTTATGTTTCTAATATTAATTTATTATGTTTTAATTTTTATAAATAATATATTGTTGTTATTGATAAAATAAAATAAACATTTGTTAATAAGTTTATAATTTATATCGTGCCAGTTTTCATAAAATTTTTATTTTATATTAATTTTTTAATTTATTATTATTAATATTATTCTTAATATTTGTTATTATTTTTATTTATTAATTTATTATTTTTCCTTTTATTACAATCACTATTTTTTCAATAAAGTAAAATACTTACAATCTGTTAGGGTCTTCTTTTAGACATTCGTCAATAAGGGCCTTCGAAATATTCACCCTAACTTTATTTTGCAGGCGTTTTTCGGCAATAAAAATTCTCCATATTTTGTTGACAGCCGGAATTGACTTGATGGAATCTATGTCAGTCTTTAAAGTTGAAATAACATTTGTTTTTGGGGTAAGATCCCCAAAACCACCTACGGATTCACACTCCGATAGAGTGCCACTAACTGTCGATGCTGATGCCACTGATCGAACGGAGTCTAAATGAAAATTAAATATATTATTTAAAAAAAGAAATATATTATTTAAAAAAAGAAAAAAATATTAACAGCCTGTTTCTTTATTTTGAAACGAAATTTTTTTTGTTCCGACATAAAGAAACAGGCTGTAAATCCAGTGTACTTACCTCCAAATTGCAACTCAATATGAAAAGTAGGTGTTGACATATATTGATGAATTACTTTTTCAAACTGGTCTTCTTTAATGGTTGCACCAAACACTAAGGCTGTTATTTTTCTTGAGGCATCAATTTTTAACTCTAATTTGGCTGCTTTTATAAAGCTTTGTAGATTTAAAGGCTCCGGCGCTTCGACAAATAATTTGTCTTCCCCCAAAACAGTTGGTATCAACATTTATTACAACACTTGTGACACGACGCGAAGGCACAAAACAAATAAAAAGAATAAAAAAAGAACACAACCAGAATGCCAACATGAGACACGCGCAAATGTTACGCTCTTTTGTTCTCATCAAGCAAATCGGTGTGTATGCGAAAAACGCATGTATGTATGTATGCATGAACATTAGTAAGAAGCAACGTCTCAGCAACAAAAAAAACATCCAAACAGCTCTTTGTGTGTTGTTGTTGGCATTTTTTGGTGCATGGACAATAGAAAAGAAATAAACGTCTCAGCAACAGTTTCCATCCCTCTTGCCGCGCACACACCACACATAGTTACAGCAGCGATCGACAGTGTTTGCTTGGTGAGAGCAAAAGAGCGTAACATTGGCGCGTGTCTCAAGTTGAGACACTCAAGTTGTCCATGCACCAAAAAATGCCTACTTGAGAAAGAAAACGTTACAACAACACACAAAAAAATTGACTCCTCTGTATATATGTCGGTGTTAATGCGAAAAACGCATGTATGTATGTATGCATGAACATTAGTAAGAAGTAACGTCTCAGCAACAACTAGAAAATTCACACCGCACAACAGCAACGAAAAAACATGCAAAAAGTTTTTTCGTTGTTGTTGTTGTGCGGTGTGTATTTTCTAGTTGTTGCTGAGACGTTACTTCTTACTAATGTTCATGCATACATACAACTTCTATTTACAGTTATATTTGGAAGAGAGCAAAAAATGTTTCGGTTCTGCTTTGTTGTGCGGCCAACCAAGCCAACACATCATCAACGCAAAAACAGACTTCTCACCCTCCTGTCTTCTTTTAAGTCACCTATAACACCAATTCAAAAGTAATCGAGAGCTCTGTTGTTTAGCTCTTTGAAAAAAATCCTCTCCGCACCCATAAAAAATATGTTCTAACATATAAAATATGTTGGTACCCAACAAATAAAATTGAGTTATGTTACAAAATGTTGCAAACAAATATTTGTTTGCACCGAAACAAATTATGTTTGCATCCAAAAATATATTTGTTTGCAACCAGTCCCAAACAAATATATGTTTGGATCCAAACATATTTCTAACATATATTTTTCTGCGTGTAGAAGAACTTTAGAAAACTAACTAATAAAAACATACAAAAATATTTTTAATTTTAACATACTTTTTGCCAGTCTCGAATCGGTGACCCGTTTACATTTAATTTTGTAGCAATGTATTCCAATCTGATTAAAAATAAGCTGGAAAATGACCTTTGGTAAACCCTTTTGCCAAACATGTTTTTTTTTTTCAATTCGACAACAACATTTCAAATTTTTTTGCTGTTGTTATTTTCATGGTCAAATATCAAATACGAAAAAGTTAAAATATCAACGTAGACTAAAAAAACACAATGTCGTCACATTTTTTTACGGCTACAGATTTTCTTTAAAATCGACTTAACGTCGACTGTTGTATCGAGTAGTCGTCGTCGACTTTATGTGCAAGTCGCCCTCACCGTCGCTTCGATTCATAAATGGTATTACGGTAAGGCATAGGAGCGACATCGACAGTTCAAAATAAAAGTTGGCAACAATTAAAAAAAACGTTGGTAACTTTCCCTTGTTGTTGACAAAAAAAGATAATTTTTTTGTGTATTTTGAAATTTAATTTCGACTCTTTGGGAAAAAAATATAGTGAAAAAAAATGAATGAAAAAATGAAATGCGTTAAATATCTTAAGTTCAAGTGCACTCTTATTACCCTTATTCTGTGCATTTTTTTTTTGGTTTTAAATTTTAAATCTTTCCAAACCTAAAAGAATTTTAAAAAACAAACTAATAAAAACATACAAAAATAATTTTATATTTAAATTTTAGCAAACTATTTTCCAGCCATCGGTGTCTCTAATCGGAGGCCCGTTTACCTTTAATTTTGTAGCAATGGATTTCTAATCTGGTACCTTTACCCTTGGTAAACCCTTTTGCCAAACATGGTTTTGTTTTAATTCGGAAACCAAAATTTCAAATTGTTTTGCAATTGTTTTTTTTTTTTCAAATATCAAATACAAAATGGTTACAATATCAACGTCGACCCAAAAATACAATGTCGTCATAATTTTTTACGGCGATAGCTATTCTCAAAATTCGACTTCATGTCGACTGTTGTATCGACAATGATAATTGCAATCATTTGTCGCTATCGACAAAAAACGACAACCCTAATATCATTATTGTCGCCTCAACTTCATTTTGCGACGACGACGATAACCGTAATAGGGCCGAATAGCAATCATTCGTCGCTATCGACAAAAAACGACAACCCTAATATCATTATTGTCGCCTCGACTTAATTTTCCGACGATAACCATAATAGGGCCGAATGTCGTCACAATTTTTTACGGCGACAGATATTCTCTTAAAGCGACTTCACGCCGACTGTTGTTTCGACGATGATAATAGCAATCATTCATCGCTATCGACAAAAACGACAACCTTAATATCGTTATTGTCGCATCGACTTCATTTTGTGACGACGACGACAACGGTAATAGGGCCGATTATAAAATATGACGTGGATGGTGATTGTTCAATGAATTACACGTTCCAAACAAACTGCGAACAATGTCGAGTGTATCAATGAGATAATTTTATTGCAAATGTAGTAATTTCCAATTACAAATATATAACATCAAGTGTTTAATATCAAAATCATATTATTGAAATAATAATTTTCTATATATCTTTACAGATTGTGTGATCAAGGCAATTTTAAAATTAACGCTCAAAAGTTTACTGATTATGAGTTAATGATTGCTTCACACATCGTAGTTCCAGCCGATATTCCAGTAAGATGGAGTGATATAGCTGGATTAGATTCAGTTATACAAGAGCTGAGGGAATCGGTAGTGCTTCCTATAAAGCACCGGCACCTCTTTAGTCAGTCGAAGTTATGGCAAGCCCCAAAAGGGGTTCTTCTTCACGGACCTCCTGGTTGTGGTAAGACTCTAATTGCAAAAGCAACTGCAAAGGAAGCCGATATGCGGTTTATAAATTTAGATGTTGCAATACTCACCGATAAATGGTATGGAGAGTCCCAAAAACTTGCATCCGCAGTGTTTTCTCTTGCTTTAAAAATTCAACCATGTATAATATTTATTGATGAAATAGATTCCTTTTTAAGAAGTCGTAACTCCAATGACCATGAAGCTACCGCTATGATGAAGACACAATTTATGATGCTATGGGATGGTCTAAATACAAACCACGAAGCTACCGTAATTGTCATGGGGGCAACAAACCGACCACAAGATCTTGATAAGGCCATAATAAGGAGAATGCCTGCACAATTTCATATTGGATTACCTAATGTTGAACAAAGGTTTAAGATACTAAAACTAATAATGGACACTGAAACTGTGAACGAAAATGTCGACTTCAATCGTCTTGCTAAATTAACAAGCGGGTTTTCAGGCTCGGATCTTAGAGAAATGTGCCGCAATGCTTCAGTTTATCGAATGCGACAGTTTATGAAATCAAATACGAAAGAAGACGCAAATATTACAGATGGATTATGGCAACCTACTGAGGCACTATCATCAAATAATTATTCCCAAATTGCTATAACAATGGATGATTTGATAAGATCATTTGATAAAATTCAAGAATCAAAAGTTCATACCGGGCAGTTGCTTTTAGAAAATAGAATAGATTTGGACTAATTTTTTGTATTGCAAGAAAATATCACATTTTAAAACAAGTATCCCGTAATGGCTATGGAGATATATATTCAAAATAGCTATAAAAATGTGTGAATTTATATAAATTAAGAAGGAACACAGCAAAAAGTTCTACAATACATTCGTTATCACGTCATAATTACAGAAGGTAGTCTTTTATGCAAAGACAATGAAAGCTACTTTTTATATCTGTTACTCTTCTCTTATTTTAAAATAAATAAATATTTTTGTTAAATTATTATTTAAATTAAATTAATGGAGCCAGTCACTTCAAAATAATAACCAATTTAATACTTTTTCCACTAAATGTTGTGTGAAGATAATCTCTTAGAAATAAACCTTTGCAGCTCCGCAACTGGCAATGTATAATAAAACTTCAACGAAAACAGTTGACTTTTTTCTTAGTTTGGATGTTTAATGTTTCTTATGCAACAAATATGTAATTTCTTTGCACACAAGCACAACAAGGACCAGTTTGCGATTCTGAAAGAAAAAGTCAACTTATGGGTTCAAAAGGACTAGTCATCATTATTAAGTGGATGGCTTTCATTTCATAATTGCTAATATCATCTGCCACTCAGACCTGCCTGACAGACTTTTTGATCTAGAGGTTCTTGTAGCGTTGGACCTCCCTCCCTAGATCATGTATGTCCTTCTTGACACGCCTGAGTGGGGAGATTTATCCACTATCGAGACAACAGTCGGTGTGAAGTCGCCGTAAAATTTGGACGACATTGTATTGACCATGAAAATAACAGCAAAACAATTTGGAAATATTGAAATAATTTCCGACACTGGTCTAATAAGATCCTAGCGCTAAAATCCTTTATGCTGTGGTCAATTGGAACAACTGTAGTTTAGTAAAAACTCTTCGATTTTTTTTCGAAATCCTTTCTAGAGGTAGTTATTTATACCCTGATTCCGGAAAACTAATTTTTTTCTTGGGAGACGAGATCGATATTTTCATAAGCGATACTTATATTGTCTATATTGGTAAGCGACTTATACATAACGCAGACGACTATAGAAACGACAACCATAATTGGACCGAATATCTCTGGACACAGAAAAGGTTTTAGCACAAATTGTAGCATTTTGGAAAGGTAAGAGTGTCAGCTATAATTTTTGGGTATTTTATAAAAAATCCGGATCGATAATTTGACTATAACTTCCGAACCACTTTAAATAACTCCATCAAGTACATACAAGAGTGGTTTTATTTCCGAATTTAGCTTCTTCAGAAAACGAAATTTGTTTTCGATTTGAAACTACTTTGGATTTTACATTTTGTATCTTAAGTGTTTCTCAATTGATAAAGCCAATTGTTAACAAAGTGTTGCCACATCATTTTTTCTTGAAAACCACTTTTTTCTTTCAACAAAAATTATTTATTTGTGAAAACTAAACAATCCGGCCTTATGAATGATAAATTGATGCAAAGATGCAGGCATGTCACAGAATTGAATCGGAAAAGTTTGAGTTCTGAAATTCAAAATCGATCGCTTTTGTCTTATCTTATTCAGATTCCGTACAATTTGGTGAACTACGAAAATCTTGGTCTTGGTCGTCGGACGTTATTAGATCCTTATTGCTAGGAACACAATAAAAACCAATATGATAAGTTACATAACTAATGTAAATTAATATTTCAAAATGCTTTTTAAAATGTATGTAAGATTTGAATACGTGACCGAAAACTCATTGCAAGCACTGCAGAAAACGAGCTGTCGGATTCTATAATAGAAATGAAATGAATCAATGGATGAAGATTGGCACAATGCACGCAGAGCATTTGAAAGTATCTGTTTTAATGAGGGAGATCAAGACTTCTATGGAAGTTATGAAGAATGGTTTACGGACATGTATATGAGCCATCCTAAGAAGAATTAGGTGTGGAAAAGTAAGTCTAATTTCAATATTAGCACAATATATGGTTCAGTAGATGCATATACAAATAAAATAAGCAACATTACTTTTTGTGGAAATGCAAACAATGCAAAAGAAGCGAACACTTTAGTTATTTCGAATATAACAAAGAATCCAACTGAATCAATTCCATTGTTCAATCTATGTGAAATCCTTGATCTAAAACATGCAGATCCATTTTTCTTACAATCAAGTGGGATTGATATATTAATTGGCAGTTATATATTACCATTCATCATATTGAACGGAACTAAAATAAATGTGTTTGAGAGTATGATAGCTGAAAATTCCATATTTGGATGAAAATATTGGCAACAATAAAATGTTCAAGAATAAATATAAAAGGGTAGTGTCACACCAGCAATAAAGTATTCCATCCATTTAAAGCAATTAAGTGATGTGAAGTTCAAGTCCATTGACCTGAATTGTACTTGTAAATATTGTTTTTAATATTAAAAGAAAATAAAAAATAGTGTGTTTTGGTGTATGTGTAAAATTGTGACATTAAGATAATGTTAATATGTGATTTTTGAGTATCTATGTATAAATCCATAAAGCGGAGAAGACATATCATGTTTAAAAGGCACATTAACTGGTGGTCAGGGAATTACAAATCAAGCGCTGAAGAATCTTATGCATTTTAGGTAAGAAGTCACCGGAGGTGTAAACAAAAAAAAAAAAAAAGAAAATTTGAGATGAATGTAATGATATATACTAAAATTGTTCACTTGAGGTGGATGATTTATAACAAATTACATTAAATGATTTGTTACGGCATATGAATTGGTCACCAGAGATGACTGAAGACAAAATGTCTCTATACACTAAAATAATATTCACGGAATTCTTTAATTAATTCAAAGAAAAAATTAACACTTACTGATGTCAAATATGAATTAAAGAAATGATAATAATGTCACTAGAGGTGATAATATGTCACATGAGGTGACTCAAAAAATTATTACCAAATGAATTTAGAAATAATAGTGAAGATTAATAATTTATCTAATTCTATATTGAGTATGGGCCAATTTCTTGCTTTAAAGTATTTCTTTACAGAAGCATGTGATGAAAATAAAATAGGTTGGTATTGTCAATATCCATCCAAAAAAATTGGGCTAAACACATATTTAACTCGCTGGAGAAGATTACCATGGAAATAAATTGAGGTTCCTGGTTCACAACACCGATAAGCCAACAATTGATGCCTCAATAATTAAAAACAATCGCTAAGCAAGAAGTAGCAAGAAGCTATCAAATCTATATAATAGAGTAATTGATTTTAATAAAAAAAAAAACATGAAGCAAGACCGCCAGAGTCTTCTGATTAAAACAAGTGTTTTATTTAAACCTAAAACACTGGTGCCTTAATAGTAACACGTAAGTATCGCCTATATACTTGTTGTGTTGTCTAATATTCATATTTATTGTTGTTCGTCCTTGGGCAACATATACTTTCCGCTCTAAAGCTGCAGAATATTTAGAACCCCTACAAGTCCATACGAAAAAAACATCACTCACTTCGCTGCATCATTTTTGTTACGTTCGTTTAGCTTACATTGGGTGTGTCTGGTTACTTTTCCAGCAGGAATTGTCCAGCAACTTCTTTCTGAGAGAGTAAGGTAGTTTTATTCTCTTTTGCAAGGAAAATGCGAAAAGTAAACAGACGGTATTCCTGCAGAAGATTGCAACTAATCAGCTGATTTGTCAAAACAAACCGATTTGTCCCGCATAAGGAGAATTAAAACAAAGGAAGCAATACTAATTTTACAAGTTTTTTAAATAAAAATGTTGGAAATAGTCTTTTATTTTCTTATTACATATTAACATTTACGTTTTTCACATTTTGTAAAGTTGTTCTCCAAAAACTATTAGTCTTGCTAATTCTAAAAAAAATATTTTCAAATTGAAAGCACAAAAATAAATAAACAAACATTAGAAAACATCTGATTGAATGTCGATGAATGAGAAGAAGAAGAGTTGCAAGTGATTGCAAGAAGAAATTTGTCCAGCAAGAATTTGCAAACTCTCACTGAAAGAACTGTCAAAATTTCTCTCTCCAACCGCTCTCTTTTGCAGAACTTTCGGGTTAACAGACGACTTCCAGTAACAATTGTTACAAATTTTAGGTTAACCAGACACACCTATTCATAAGTTACAACAAATAAAACAAGCTTTTGTCAAATGTTTTATTGTTATGTGTGATCGGTATGTCATTGTTCGAGTTGTGTAGTTAGTGTGACGAGTAAGGTAACGTGCCACATACCGCAATTATAAACATACAATTGAATAACAAGTAAAAAAGCTGTAAGTTCGCCCGGGCCGAACTTTTAATACCCTCCACCATTTGGTACAAATTTGGCAATTTCCAAAAAATAAAATCCGTTAAAAATTCTGTTAAAATCGTAAAAATACCGAATGCTTATACGACGACGTGGGCCTCCATAGGCAACTTTTGTCATAAGTTATTACAATATTTAAATGCGAAACTTGAAGAAAAATCTGTTTATAATGTAGCTAAAATCATCACAATACCGAATATGGGGGGTACCGTTATATGGGGGCTATACGAAGACGTGGACCTGCACAGACAATTTTCTGGCATGGGCTGAAGTATGCATTACGAACTTCACGTGCGAAATTTGAAACAATCCCGGTAAATAATGTCGCTAAAATCATCAAAATACCGAATATCGGGGGGGGGGGGGGGGGGGGGATGGGTACGGTATATGGGGGCTATATGAAGACGTGGACCTACATGGCTCATTTTTCGACTTAGTATGTAGTATCTATAACGAACTTCAAGTATCAAATTTGAAACGATTCCGGTAAATTATGTCGCTAAAATCATCAAAATACCGAATATCGGGGGGTACCGTTATATGGGGGCTACACGAAGACGTGGATCTGCACAGATAATTTTCTGTCTTAGGCTGTAGTATCCATTACGAACTTTAAATGCCAAATTTGAAACAATTCCGGCGAATAATGTCGCTAAAATCATCAAAATACCGAATATCGGGAGGTACCGTTATATGGGGGCTATATGATAACTTGGACCTACATGGCTCATTTACGAACTTATCCTGCCTACTGGCAAAATATACATGTGTGCAAAATTTTAGCCTTTCTATCTTAATTTGTTCGAAAGATAGCGTGATTACAACAGACAGACAGACGGACATGGTTAGATCGTCTTAGAATTTTACGCTGATCAATAATATATATACTTTGTTGGGTCTGACATGAGTATTTCGAGGAGTTACAAACGGAATGACAAAATCAATATACCCTCCATAGTATGGTGGAGGGTATAAAAAATAAAACTAATAGGAAGAAATTAATAAAAATAAAACATAGTTAAAAATGACATAAATCAACAACATAGAAAAATTAATAATATTAATATTTCTCTTAAAGTTTAAAAGATAAACGTTTATTGAGAAAATAAGAATATACACTACAAACACATTTGAAA